CCCCCAGGGAAATCTCACAGCCAGGTCAGAATAGGACTGCACACAGAAACAAGCACTTGGAAAAGCTGAATGAGAGAAAGGGAGCACTGCTGGGCTCTACAGGAAAAGAGCATCACCCCCAAGGACAAGCAAAGCTGCCACTCTTCCTGTGATCACAGGGAACAGTCTTGGGAACAGCCAGTTCCAAACAAGCATACAGACAAAAGTAGCCCACTGCTTATGGGGGAAGCTTATCTGAAAGCTAAACATCTCTCTAGAGCTGTGTTGCTTTCTAAAGAGGGTACTGTGGCCAAGAGGGTACACATAGAAAACACAATAGGTTCCACTACAGACTTGCTTTCAGTGAGACCAGGAATTTCAGACTGTAGGTGCAGAAATAATGGATTCTGGAGGGAGCAAGTGAACTAAGTTATCATCTGTTTCATGGAACAGCCACATACACTGTGACCCAGCAGCATCAACAGCAACTGCCACAGCTCTGCTCTTCATCAAAGATCAGCAGGCTGACCTTTACAGCGGGGGGGAAAGAGGCACAAAGCTGTTACCACAGTTATATTGGGTCATGCTCTACCTTACTTCGCAGCAACCTGGACTTGTGTTCATGGCTGAAGCTTCAGAGGACAGTCCTGTCATCCCATGTTAACCTGCCAGCCTTTTATTTCTTCTGCTGCTGCTGTAACTGCAGTGGATTTGCACAGTTGCCCATGCTATCCATGTAAGGGTATTGGAGGAGAAACAGTCCAAGAGCAATAGCAGGCTCCAGTGAGGGCATGAGCTGAAGATCACGTTAATCTTCAGTTCTACACTAATTCCTACTAAGTCTTCACACCTATGCAAGATACATCTCTTCTTCTAGAGAAACTTCCACATGGGAAAGGGAAGGTTGGTGACACATCAGTAATAGTGCAGGAAAAAAAGTTAACAGCCACACAACCAAATAAGCGCTTCTGAGGAAGCTTTAGGAGCTAGACTGTGAGTTAGTCCCAAACCAGGGAATGGGAGCAGCTTTTAACTGCAAACAACCCGGGAACAGTCTAAGCACAGGATGCCTGTGGGACATCCCTATCACCGCAAAGCAAGGGCTGATGTCAAAAGCAGCTAATGCAGGTTAGGTTCCAAGTAATTATTCAGCACTGAGCACGTGCAGGGTCCTGAAATCCTGCCCTCCTCCACCCCATCAGGCAAGAGTCCTTTATACATTTATCATCCCCCACAACACAGCACCTGAGATGCATTCAAGTGCTATCATGGTCCTTTGTGCAAAGGAAGAAATATCCCAGTGGGATCAGGGAAGGACCAGGGTAACACCCTCCACCACCCAGCTCTAATGACATTTGCCACCTCCTGCAATGCCAGACTTCATACTTGCTTCTTCCTAGCTCCTGGCACTCACCGTGGCTGGCAGTGCATAATTCAGCAGCTTTCCTTCCTTTGATCTCTGGAGCACAGTAATGACACCAACATGCCTCCTATGCCTCTTGCACACTGTAAGGCAGGAGCCTCACTCACGAAAGTGGTGTGGTTGGCATGGGGTTTTATTGCAAATTAGATCTGAGGGTTTCTTTCCCCCCTCACACACTGCACTATCCCTTTCCAGCTTCCCACTAGATGAAGAGTTTCACTAAATCCCAGTCTGCAGGCAAGAAGAGCTGTCACCACTGCTTTGCTCCTCTAAGAAATCACATGGGAAGGATCCTCTGCTGCTGCAGGGAAGTGTGGAGCTGTGCCGTTGTGCATAACAATCCAGTCATATCCAGCTTGCTTGATTTAATATCACTAAAGCTTGGCCCCCAAAGGCCTTTGCTGATTGACACCAGCTTGGTAAGTGTGTCCCAGGGATTCTAGCAGCAACTCTTTACAGACAATAGCAGACTGGCCCCATGCCCAAAGACAGAGATCACCTGCACTATGGTCACAGCTCAGAATGGAGCACAAAGCCTGTGACAACTCTGCTGTGTTGAGAACAGCCTTTCCTGGAGTCTCCCACCTGCTTACCCAGAGGTACAGCTCCCATTAGGCAGTTGGAACCCAGTTGTCCAACAGCTGCCTCAATTTTCACACCAAAGAAGGAAGAACCCAGAGGCATTGCTGAGAGATAAAGTGGGATCTTTTCTGGTGCTTTTCTCACACCTTTGAAGTGTGAAATATCTTAAAACAAAACAAGAACACTTCTTGCAGCAGATGTCTCTGTGCTGTCAGGCCTGATATGGTGGGAATTGGGAGGAAGCAAAGGAAAAGTAAAAATCCGTGCCTAAAGTCAGCCACCACACAGATATTCTCTATTATAAGCATCACAGAGCTGCTAGGGGAGTCAATAAGGGTCTGAGAATGGTCCTGTCTTTGTGTCATGAGTTCTTCACCACAGTATTGTCTTCTGTGTTCATCTATTCCAACTGGTATATATGGATTCCAGTCTCCTGCTCCTAGATGCTTAAGAGTCACTCATACATGGCCCACACAGCAACTCAGGCTTTATTTCTATAGTTTGGAATCTGCCTGGACAAAGGGACATTCTGCTTACTTTGAAACAGTGATCTCAATGCCTAAACCTTACAGTCTGTGTGGAACTCGCTGCCATCTCATTCCAGCTCTGAACAAGCTTTTTCCATACGGTGCATTTGAAAAGCTCCAGTGGATGCTGAAGGAGCTGAGTGTGTCCCAGTCCTGCTGCAAAGCCCTTCAGCACCCTGGACAAGAAGAGCAGCAGCTTCCTTCTTTCAACTTACACATCAGCACAGCCATCCTCTGTTCTTCCTGCATGATACACAGCTGTATGGGTATGCACATATGCTAAAGGAAGCAGCTTGTATCCTCCCACCGAAGCAAAGCAAAACTGGAAAGAAATCTCACCAAATAACACTAAATTCTTCTGCTAGATACACAGTTTACAGGTATGGGGATCATGACACGTGGTTGGATTTAATGAGTCTATAAATCTTGGTAGAAAAGGGTTTTAATCCAAACATGAGTGTATTACACAGCTTTTCTAGTAACCAGCTATGAAAAATGCAAGGCAAACCACCACTTATAAGTTTTGGATTTATCAGGTAAGAAAATCAGCAGTTGCTGCACAATTCAGCACAGCTCAACTCCTCAAACATTTGTTATTCCCTCCCTTGAAACAAGCTGTTGTGAGAGAACACGGGACTGGAGTGGTCACAACCTAAAGGATGACACTAATTCCTACCTCTGCCCAGCCTCAGTACACCTTCTGCACAAGCTGTTAGAGCCAGAAAGCTCATAAATAGCAATTACTCATCATCCTCAAATGATGTTCTTGGATATTGCCATGTTCTACTAGTTTTATTAGAATAAAGGGCCAAAATAAAACACTGCTAGAAACATCAAAAGGCCTTGAAAGCGCTGAAGGAGACACACAAATGTTTTACTCAGACATGTTATGGTTACATGAATACTTCCCAAGTGCCATAGTTCAAATAAAAATATATTCATACAAATTTAAAAAAAATACCATTTATATACACCAAGGAATTAGCTTACATCATTTCATAACAAAAAACAGTGCAAAAAAACAACCCCAAAACCAAATGGAAAGGTAAGTTGCTACCATTGGAATGGCTCACAGTAAGTCCACAAGTCAAAACCACATCAGTTAACACTGCACAGGGCTGCCCCATACTATCCCCTAACTTCTGCCATCAATACTAATCCAGTTATTCGTACTATTCCTTTAGTGTTGCTCTGAGTAAAAGGTTACAGGCACCTAACATTAGAAGTAAGTTTCTTGTACATCACTAAGCAACCAGAGCCAGGGTAGAAGCAGTGAATGTGTTGTTAAGAAAGGAACTAAGAGAGCGAAGTAGGAGAACAAGACTGATTCAACAGGAGCCACTTTGCATCAGTCCTTAGCCGAAGGGAAACGCTGCATCTCCAAACACCAGATGAACTTGTAATTCCCTTTCTGCAAGCTACAGAACAGCGACTGCACACTCAGTTTTCCCTTTAAAGCAACTGACAAGGTCACCCACCACCCTCATGTAAAACTTCTTTAGGGAAGCAATGAACAGGGTGTGCTTTCCAGCTGGAACGTTTGGGTAAGATAGATGCACAGAGAAGACAGTGCTGACAGCAGGCTGAAAGCAAGTGGCCTTCTCCTGGGGAAGTGCAGCTGGTGCTCAGACAAACCTTGACAAGGTTTTTCAGCCTGTCTTGTCTGGATTGCCTGACTCCAGGCCTCCGTAGTGATGACAAGACATCCCAGCAAATTATACTGCTGCAGTTTGTGTACAGAAATAGAACAGGACATGACCAGCCCAAGGCAAACCACCTAAGGAGCCCTCCTGATGTGGATGAAGAGAAGGAACCTTCCACACACAATCACTCATCATGAGCAAGAGGAAAGAGATCTGTCACTGAGAGACACAGGGCATTCTTGACATGTGCTTGGGCACTATGGGATTGCTAAATCCACATTAGTGTGAGCTGAAAACCCATCAAAACAGGAGTTCTGTGATCCTTCAAATGAAAGGTAGGTTAACAGAAGCATATTTCAAACCTACAGCCCAGCTCCAGGGAGTACTAAAGGATGCTGGAAGTCTCTTGGGATAGCTTACTGCAAGACCAGAACTCAGGGAACACTGGTAAATCAGGAAATCACCAGCAGAGACTATCTGGAGAGAACAAACATCCTTACCCTACTTACGGGGAAAGAACTTGCAATCTAAGGAGCAGTAGCTGATGCCAACTGATCTGCTGTAAGGAACACGTCCCACCTGTCCCAGCTAAGGAGCCCAGGTTGAAGGCACAAGATGGATACTGGCTGTAGGAAAACACCTTCACTTTACTTGTGGAAGCTGAAGAGCTTGCATGCCTCCTTTGGAACAGAGATAGGATATTCACAAGCCTGCAAGGCTATTTCAGTGGGTGAGACAAGAGCTGTTGCTGCAAGTTCTACAGCAGGAAGGGGAAAAGAACAAACATTCCCTGCTCTTTAGATAGGTCACTTCCCAAGCAGCCCTCTTCAGGGTCCTCAGACACACAGCTTCCTCTGCCACAACTGCCACTGCATGTACCACAGCTCACTTCCCTTGGTGGAAATGGTATAAATCCATTCTTGAAAACAAAGATGTGCCCTTCATCTCCTAATACAGCAGCAGGTTTGAGACAACACCAAGTGGAAAAAAGGCCTCCAGATGTCAATGGAGAGGAATAAAAATTAGAATCTAAGTGCTTACAAACAGCTGTGCTAAACCCAAGCTTTCCAGCTAAGCCATGCACTGCATAAGGACAAATTCTATGCTAAAACTTGGCCCTAGGAACCACTTTAAATCCAAGTTTTCTCTTATCTGCTGGCCAAAGTTCAAGAGTTTCCCATGATTCAGCTGTCTTCACTGCAAGCACAGCCACAGAATACATCTACCAACCATCCAGACTGCAAAGACTCCATGAACATCTAAGAGTGCCAGAGACTTCGAGAGTTCTACCTCAAGACCTGGTGACCTGAGAACAAAACCTCCTCACAAGCCTGTCTGTAGCAGGGCTCAGCAGGCAACAGCTTGCAGAGCAATGCCCTGGAACAATCAGCTTCCACAAAGCCAGTCAATGAGGCTGTTTTAACAGATCTAGTGTTTTGATACCTGTAGGAAAAGAGCACAACTTCTTCAGGCTTAGTCAGGAAAAACTTCACTACAGATGAGATTCTGAATTCAGAGAATACAATAATGTCTGATTTCCCTCTGCCACAGCTCCCATCTATGGCAGACAACAGGTTAACTGGAGTGCTCAGAGGCTGTGTAGAAGCTTTTTCTGGGATACATTCCCCATGATACTTGGCCCAGTCTCTTGGCTGAGAGAATGCTCTGTGCTTTATCAAGCCAATCAGCTCTGCAGCCCCTGGAGGCACAGTGCTGGCTTCCCACTGAGGGTTATCTCTATGCAAAACTCAGGAGGGCAGGTGCCTGCTGAACAATACAGGTGCTGGCCAGGATGGTACCTGCTAAAGCACTGAACTGGCTGCAACTGGCTTCTAAGTGCTGATTTTACCCTTCTAGATACGTGGCTGCTGCTATTGCAAGCATTATCCCAAGCATTTTTAGAGCACAGACAGCCCCACTTATCATCCTGCAGAAAATCCTGCCTGTTAGTCACCAGCTCCAAGTATCCCTCCTGTATGACAGCTTTAAGTTATACTGGCTCTCGTCTCAACAGAGATAATTCAACCAAGCCCAGAAACAGGGCAACAGTTCTATTAGCCCCCAGAAGGCAACACCTTATCAAGCTCTGAAGATGCAGATTCCCTGGTCTCTAACCCTAGCTGGAAAGGTGTCCCAGGCTCTCATTGTTGGATCAGTACAAGGACAAAGTGCCTACAAATGCCAAGAAATGCAGGAGTGCCGGGTTAGTGACAAAGTGAAGTGCCACAAAGTGCCTTAGAAGAGTCTCTTACAGGGAGATAATAACAATAGCTAAGAGGGAAAGAGATCTCCCTTCTCTGAGATGCTCTGCAAATGTATTAAATATTTATAATCTCAAACAGTAACTGGAATTGAACTGAACTCCTGATTTGCTGAGCTGCTCTCAAAAGCCAGCTGCTGTCAAAAACAACACAGCAGGGACACTTTCCTATGAAAAAAGGAGAGAAATTAGGAACAAATGAAGCCAGAGTGGAAAAGATGGACAACTGGGAACACCTGCAAAGAGGTGTACTTCCAGAGCTGGATTTTGTAATACTGCTTCTGAGAAAAGGCATCCTCCAGAGCAGCTATTTGATAACTGCAAACTCCAATATCTCCTCTCTCAGCCCTGACAGTGACTCCCTTCTCACACAAATAAGGCAACAATTGCAGGAGCAAGGGACGAAGAGGAAAAACGACGCATACAGGAAGACAGGGAAAAGATGCTGAAGTTTCCTGCATAGGACACAGTGGAGATAGATGATTCTTTTTCCAACCCTTCAAAAAAAAAAACAACAAACCCAAAACCAAAATAGCAGAACATACAGTGTCAGGACAGTTGACAAAAGGAGATAACTGGGGCACAGGAAAAGAAAAAAACCTGGATCAAAAGTGGTCAAACCAAGTGCCTGAGACCAACCAATAGCTCTGGGCCCAGGCAGCTCCTCTAATTCTCTGGCTAGCAAGGTGTTTTCCAGCTCCCCAGGCTTGATATGCATGTGAGAAGCCAAACGGCAAGTCTTGGGCCTTGAGGGGTCCAAGCGGAATGCGAGCGCGTGTGCAGGCTTGGAAGAGGGAGGTAGCCACCGACAGTGGGGCAGGGTGGGCAGGGGCATCAAATGCTCTGATAGTGTTGTCTCAGTCTTGCCTGCAGAAATTCGTGGGTCAGGTTGTGCCGAGTGATTATCCCAACAATCTTAAAAGAGGAAGAAAGAGAGGAAAAAAGTCAGTATCACAGGTGTGTCACTAACAGACGCGCATGGTAGAGCTGCTGTTCTAACTCCCAAAAAGAGGAAACGTGCAAGCAGATCCTGATTGATGCTGAGTTAGAGTGGGTTCAAGTTCAAACCTTGCCAAAACAACACCCCTCCCTCTGCCAGCACTTGTCTGCAGGCAAGATACTGCTTTAACGACACACAAACAGACAGCTTAACTGCTGCTATGGTGTCTGGACACAGCACTAGTTACCCCCGCATAGGAAGGGAAATCCTGTCCATGTTCAACAGCATAAAGATGTAACCAAATCCTTTGTAAAGTGAAAATTGTAACTGGAAATAACACAGCTCTCTTATGGCTTCATAGTAGAGACATTTCAGATATCCCACATGACATGACTGCAGACAGCTCTTATCAGATACATTTTAGGAAGCTCTAAAGACCACAACAGAGAAATGGTAAAGGCTAGCTAAGTGGTGACTGCACACTGGCCATCACCAGCCAGCAGGTCACAAAAGCGACCCTCTCCCCAGACTGGGGAAACAGTCAAGCCAGATGTTTCAGCTGATGAAACACCTCACTGATTTTACACATTGAAAGAGTTTAGAACTAGGCTGCTCTCTAGTGCTGCAACAGCATCTTATGCTAAACACAGAATGAGTCAACATCTCTTTGTATTCAAGCAGCAGGCACTGTGGAGTAGCTATTGGCAACCCCCAAGAGGCAGAAAAGACACTGCTGTCTCTACAGACAGACCACCTCAGGCTTAGAGTTTCTCACTGTTTATAGGAAGTTGCTGACACCTACTGACCGTTTCTGAGCATTGTAGATGGCAAAGACAAGCGAATCGAGAACAAGCCATTCAACAACTCCTTTGTTCTGCTGCTCCCATGAGTAGGAGCACAATGCAAGTTCCCTTCTAGCAGAAAAACCTCCTGCCCCAATGTGAAGGAAATTCTGCTTTTGGCCTTGAATAAAGCTGACAAAGAGGAAGCCAAATGAGTGGCCTCTGATGAGCTCAAGGCCTCTCAATAGGTACAAGACAGTAAAAGGTTCCACATGCTGCCAGCCTGAGGCTGCGTGTGGAAAGCAGGAAGCATGGACACAAACATGGTAACAGAGACACAGTAATCAAGAATGCTTCAGGGCCTTAAGATCATCACATTCTGATCTCTTTAAAGCATTTGTTTGATGTTAAGAGATCTTAATTCTTCCAAAGGTGGAGACATTGCATAAGCCACAGTGGTTTCCTTGCTTTGCCAAGAGAAAATGGAGATCAGGACTTACCTCTCCAACTGCGTTCACAACTGGTAAATGTCTGAGTCCCATCGTCCTAAACAGGTTGAAGACTTGTGACACATGGGTATTTGGAGAGACAGCAAAGGGTGATGGGTTCATGTATGGGGTGACATCCTGAGAGAGAAAAACAATTATGTTATTTACAAGAGGCATTTTCACTATCTCTAGGAATCATAAGCAATTCCTACAAGCCTTCCAATGCACTGATCTCTAGACAGGGTACCAGACTGGGGGCATCTTCTATTTCTCCACAAATACCAAATTATTTCAGGAACATGAATTTTTCATAGTTTGCTTGAACACTGTAACCCAGGATCTTAAGAGCCCAATGCTGCAGAAAGCCTCTAAGCAGGATAAATGCAGGCCCATGAAAATAAGAATGTATATTAAAAAAAGCACTTTGGCTTACACAACAACCTTCCCATCACAAAGTCAATGACAGGCCTGCCCCTGTCTGAGCTGCCAGCACATGGAGTTGCAAACAGCAGCAGTTTGCCTGTCCAACCTCACTTATGCAGAAGTATAAAATAGAAGGAAGTTACCCTAGACAGGCAACATCTCATTCTGAAAGTTAAGCACCTTTGTGAGATGTTACCTCACAGCAGGTATGAGGACTGACTTGCAGACAAAGCTGACTGAATGCATGAGAAGTACAGGATGCTGGTTACTGCACCCAAGGGTGGACTTCAATGTGCTCTCAGCCTTTTTTAAAGGCTTGAGACAGTCCTAAACATCTGTTAGTAAACACTGTCACGCTGCAGTACATCTCTTACCACTATCATGCGAGGGTTCAGCAACGTGAGGTCCAAGTCATGGATATCTGGATAACGGGGATAATCCTCTGACATCTCTGCATGGGACAGACGAGGCTGACTTGCACTCTGCATTTAAAACAAATCCCACTGAGCTGATGTGTCACCATCCCACACAGTACATGGGCTGCAAGCAGCACAGCAAATGATGCCTCCCAGTTGCTCACCCAGATCCCCCCCATGCCCACACATACATCTGCAGAGGTACTCAGAGCAGCTCACCTCAGAATGCAGCAGTGCAAGCCCAAACCTATGCAGGCACTTAGCTGACAGAGCAATGGATCTGCTCTCCAACCTCTGGCAGATCTACACTCCACATGGGAGGGCAGCAACAAATCAGCCTCGCAGATGGACCTCAATTACAAATGCTCCTGTTGATTTCAGTGATACAGCTGACACTTCTGGCAAGACCTTGGCACACAGGAGTTAAGAACATGCAGCATACACTGCGAGTTGCTCTATTTGTATTTGATACCTGTCCTCCATTCTCCAGCTCTAATAGGACTGCACCTTTATGCCACAAATGGGCTGTTGTTTATGTCTTAAACAGTAGCTGTCCTCTTTTCCTGGATACTTAAACAGAAATTCAAGTCTCTCTATTCTAGACCTGCCAGGAGAATTCACATTACGTGTCTGCAGCTTTTAACACACAGATGCATTCCTTAAAGTGTAAAAATAGGTATATTCTTTTTTGCAGCCCATACATACTGTTCCCAGCCTTCCCAGCTGGGAGGGTAGGGATGTCTCTGCTATAATTCCTGATTAGGAAGACTCACCGACTGGCTCTCGGAGTAACAAACCCCCCTGACAAGAAGCGTGACCAGCTGTGAGCGCAGGATCAAGCCATGGAAGGTCAAAGGTCTGAAGCGCTCCTCCATGGTCCACTCTTCACTGGGAGACTGGTCAGGGTACAGGTTGGGGTAGGGAGTGTATCTGTGGCAGATTTAACACTGTGTGTTACAAGATGCATGAACTTAAGGAGAGACACATACCCCCACCTCCAAAACAACAGCTACTTCAGCTCTTTGCAACCTTCTCCTGAACATTTCTGGGACTCTTACTAGTGAGAAGCAAGCCTTTTCTCCATGAAACAAATTAGCAGAGAGATCAAGAGCCATTATCATCAGCAGAGTGTGACAACAGCAGCAGGATGGAGTCTCACAACTCTCAAATTCGAATCACTTGCTACTAAAGCACTTTCCAGTGCCAAAATATTCAGATTCTAATAAAAGCTGAAGCATCTGGGAAAACATCAGCATCAGAACCCTACTCATAAGACTTACAATCACTAATAACTGATTCACTGGACTGGGCTTCTGCTTGGAAGTAACTGCAACACAAGCCTGGTGACACAGCCCAGTTACAGGAAAGTGGTTATCAATATTACAGCACCAGGTGATTAACTCCTCTCTTGGGAAAAGTGAGCTTTGTAGAGCCCTCAGTTCACTGCAGACAAGAGGCCATGGATTTCTACAGACAAGATGTTTCCCCAGGAAATGTTTCCAGATAGGTGTTTGAAGGGAATTTAAGTAAACAGGTTGGACACCACCATCAAGTCATTAAGACTCAGTCACAAGTGTGAGCCCTAGCACTGGCTGATGAGACCTGACAAGTCTCTTCTCCTAAAACATAAAATCATAGAATGGTTGGGGTTGGAAGCGACCTTCAAAGCTCCCCCAGTTCAACCCCCCTGCAATGAGCAGGGAAACCTTCATCTAGATCAGGCTGCCCAGAACCACCTAAAGCCTGGCCTGGAATATCTCCAGGGATGGTGCATCTACCACCTTTCTGGGCAACTTGTGCCAGGCTTTTACCACCCTCACTGTAAAGACTTTTTTTTCCTCAAATCCAGCCTAAATGTCCCTGTTTTAGTTTAAAACCATCATCCCTTGTCCTATCACAACAGGCCCTGCTAAAAAGTCTTCTCCCACGGATACTAGCAGTTTCCTTTGATATATGGAATGACAGGGATTGCAAGAAGCATCACATCTCAACATATAGAAACACCCTGTTCCCATAAGCCTGTGCCTACCAGGATCTCACCTTCTCTCTAGCATCTGCTGCAGCAGATCCTCCTTTTCTGGTGGTTCCTCCGTCGCTATGTGCTCATCACACATATTACGCAACTCACTCGAGGGGTAGGACTTCATGGACTGGCTGCGCTTGCGCTGCTCTCCGGCTCGGGTGAGGATGCTGGATTTCTGCACACAGCAAACAATTTGCCGATAGAAAGCAGGTCAACAATTATCCAACAGCAACTATGAACTATCTGATCATAGCTTTATGACACCAGGTAAGGTGCTCCCTAGTGCAGCTGCAGTGCTTGCGAGAATAGCCAACAGGATTGTACTCTCCTTGGACACAGAACGTGAAGTTTAGGAACTCAGGCACCCTTTTTTTGCTAGGGCATGAGCATGCCATAAGCATGTTCATTATTCATTCTGACCTTAAACTTTTAAGTTTCCCAAGGGACTAAAGCATCTGTCCCACTACCCCTTCTACAAAGGGGAGAAGCATTTAGGCACCTACTACTGATCTCAGTGGTGGATTCAATACTTCAGTAGAAAATCAAAACTTTTTCTATGTCTATCCTAAACAGGTAAGTCTTAACTTTTGCCTCCAGGAGTGCAGCTCACTTCTGCCTTTACCATGACACAGACAATGGAATGAAACTGAGTCCTTAAAAATTTTGTATTGCAGTAGGTGCTTATCTGTGACCTGAATTCTGCACTGACAAAGGGACAGATAACAAAAGAAAGGGCCTTCCACCTGCAAAACAAAGTTCTTCACCCTTCAACTCATCAAACAACTTCTTTTTACCTTGAATTTGATGTTATTACTTATCAGTTGATTTCCCTTCATGAACTCCCTCTCGTTGCCCCGGTTCTCAGTCACTACAGGGAAGGCATGATGGACAGTTGTGCGCAGGATGCTGACAAGGGACTGGATCCTGGTGTGTGGGTAGACATAGGTCAAGTTGGGTTCCATGATGTCACTGGCTCGCAGTCTGCAGGAAAAGAAATTCAAGATTGTTGCATGCATCATGTCAGTGACAAAAGGCTGGTAATGGACAAACAAGGAAACTAGTCCCAAAAAGAGATCCTAAAGGATTCTGCTGCAGTACAGTTCTGCCAGCTCCTTGTACCTATGTGCTTTACTGTGTTACTAGCAGTGCTGGCACAACTGACCTGATTTTTAACAGTGCATCAGTGATGCACTATAGGCAAGGAAAAAGGTTCCAACTTATGATATAGGAAGTGTTTAAACACTACTGAAAAACAACAACAGTTGGGAACAAGATGGAATTCTGCAAGAAGCAAAGTCCAGTGGAACACTTTCAGAGATCATGCTGAACCTCATGGATCTACTCCTTGGATCTCCACCCATCCACCCCTCCTCAGAAACGGCTCCAGAACCTCTTTCCTGCCACAGGCCCAATGCACAACTCCCAACTCCTCTCACAGCAGTCCTCCTCCCAGCTGCTCCTCTCAGAGCAGCCAGGTTTGCTGGAGATGAAGCACCACCCCCCTGCATTACAGCATTCCTTTGAGTAAGAACCCTACCACAAACTCTAACCCACAGCCCTGCCAAGAGGAGCAGCCTTACTTATCCATTTCCACCTCGGTTTCCCACTCCAGCAGAGGCACTCCTCGCAAGTTCACATGGATGTCATAGATGCCTTTGTTGAAAAAGTCTCCTGTCCATTTGGCTACCTGCAGAGCAAACACAAGGTCTACCAAGTTGCTGCCCCAAGAACTCCTCATAGCCCTTAAAGGAATAGAGACTCAGGCACAGTGCATGTTCAAGCAACCTGCAAGAAGCCAAAGCTAAGACTCTAGACTCACCATGAGGGTGATCATTATGGGGAGCCCATAGGTGATCTCGTTGGTGGATTCAATTAGGATGACAGTCAGGCTGATTGTCATGCGGACCACTCCTCCCAGGAATGCTGCTGCCCCAATCAGTGCAAAAGTTCCTGAGTAGATGTGATCCAGGCCAATGTAGCTACAGCAAAACACAGAACCTGGAGATCAGAACACCCTGACTGAGATCTCAGTGTGTGCCTGCAGCACATCTCTCTCACACACACACTCAATGCACCTTTTGAGGAGGTTGGCGACCAGGCGTCCGAAGGCAGCCCCACAAAGCAGTGATGGCACAAAAAGACCACTGGGCACAGAGATCCCATATGTCCAACAGGAGAGTGAGAAATAGAGAAGGAAGAACAAGGACAGTGTGACTGGGCTGAAAGTACCTGCAACACAAGAAGAATCATGACTAAAGAGGCACAGGCCTGTCAGACAGAGACAGTAGTATTGCGACATCCACCCCTCAGCTCACGCAGGCTCATCTTACAACACCTACTTCATCTCCCAGTCCAAACACACATGAAGAAAACAAGTAAGTGAAAAAGAGAGGAAAAGCAAGCCTTTCTTCCCATGGAGGAGGCTTTCACCTGTTGTGCTAGCAGTCCCCTAAAGCCATGAAGGCCTGAAGTGCTCTGAGCCTTGTGGTTTTTATGAATCTTGTTTCAAGCAAGATGAAGCTCTGAAGCCTAAGCATGGGATGGGACACTGTTTCTTAGCTACTCACCGTCCTGGTGGAAGAGCTGCAAGATAGCTGACTCCTGAGGGTTAAAGAAGAGTGTGGCCATGTCATTGTAGGTTTCATTTGGGCAGAAAAAAGTTTTAATGCTTGAATTCACATCCTCTGACATACCCTAATGCAGGACACAAAAGACCATGAACAGTTAGAATCCACTCTCTCCTATATTAGCCTTTGGGCAGAATGGAAGTAACTCTGCTGTATAGGGCTGTCAGCCTATGCTTTGGAAAGCTGAGACTGAACATCAATAACAAAGGTGGGGCCTGAAGAATCAGTGGGACCCCCAAATCACAGCCTGAGCTGCTTTCCCAAAGTCCAAAAGCAAAAAGGGTAGCTTTCATGACTACCCTAAGGTCCTGCAACTGCCCATGGGCTTTCACTGAAGTTCTGTTATGTACTGCATGCTGCCAAAAGCTCATTATGCACCTGTGCTTGTCTGGAGGGTGAACAAGATTATATTGATGTATAATCTTCACGTAAGATGCCTTACCTGCAGATTCAGAGTGTCATTGCCACTATGACCAGTGGAAGATATCTGCCGGCATTCTCCCAGAACCATGGAGGCTATGAAGACGACGACTGTGGTAGTCAATGACACCAGCAGGCTCTCCAAGACTCTGCAAGTACACAATAGAAACCATACACTGAAGCCACACTCAGCCCTGTAACCAAGTCCCAGCCCTGCACATGACTTTGGTAAAGCTGCAAGAAGCAGCAGTTACCTCAGCTGAACATCAGAAGCAGGGGACTCTGCAAGTCAAGCTGAATCATGACTTGGTTGCCAGGGATACTGTTAGCTCCCTTTTTTAATTGCCTGCCCCAAAAAGGAGCTATTTCTGCCCGAGAACACACAGCAGTCATGTATTAAAAAGCCATGGGGAAGGGTTCAGTCATGAGGCTGTTCACATGGAAACAATGGTCTGTAGATCCTTACAGGGTAAAAGGCTAGACAGGACTGGACAGGTTGATGCATCATCTCACAATCACTTTCCTAACTGCTGACATACACTTCTGGGGTTCGTTGGGGTTTTTTTCAAACCTGGACTTCTTATTTAAGAATTGAGCAAAACCAGCTATTTTCCACAATGACATGGCAACGCCTTCTAAATAGCACAGACATTAGCTCAGATGTAGATTTAAACAATTAATGGCATCATCTATTCTTTCCACATCTGTCTGGTCAAGACATAAAAAATACTGCATGGAGAAAAAGCTCGGTCTTGCTCAGCTATAGCCTTTATAATAAAGACCTCCCTTCACAGCCCTTGTAAGGGGAGTTGCAGCTCTCTCTGTACCACCAGAATAATTACAAAAATGCACAGGGACTGTAACATCTGGTTTCTGATGTTCACTTTTAAGTTCTATGGAGTTTTGTGACACCAAAAAGAATAGGTCTGGGATTTCCTCCAACCCCACTCACTGAGTCTTCTAGATTCTGAACACAGAAGAGAGATTCCTGCAACACCTCAAGAGAGCACAAATACCTGACCAGCTTTGGCTTGGGATGCACGTTCCGCATGCGGTACTTGGCAAGTCTCTTGTTCAGGCAGTTGAAGGTGGCACCAAGAAGGCCTCCTACAATCCCCATCAGAATGAAGAAGCCCAAGTCCACAGCTGTCCAGAGGTGGCATTTCTTATCAGACTCTGAGCACTACGTGCAGAAAAGGATTAAAAAAGCATTACAGTATTTGCTGCAATTTCCTACCAACACTTCTGTCTCCACAACAGGAGATTCAGCAGCTATGACCATAGCGGAACAATTCTTTCTTAGGTTACCAATGTACTGCAGCTAAGTATCAACTGCCCATCAATGAAATAGAAGCATGCATCAAAAAAAACCCAAACCCAAATAACAGAAACACCGAACTGACAAAAGTCTGGAAGGGTATACGAAATAAACAGCACTAAGTCTTACCTTAAACTCCCCAAAGTTCAGCAGCCCAGGGAGCTGGAAAGACCCCCAACTTCCAAACTGAATCCCAGAGCGGAAAAAATTCAGGGTGAAGGTGGCAGCCATGGAACAGAAAAGCTGAGGTAGTATAAAAAAGAAAAGAAGTAAAGATTCCCAGAATTAAGACTGGCACAGTCAGCGATTCCTTGAGACATAGGCCTGGGGAAGGGAACCTCAGAGCCTTCTTACGCTTTAGGAAAATAATACACTGAGGTTTAACACCCATCCCCTGGTGCAAAAGAGAGCAGGGCTAGAATGGATGGACTACTATAACCATATGATTTGGTTTTCTGTACAAGGAGTTAGGAATTTCACCTAGTAATTCTTGCAGCAAAAGCTCTCTTTAGTCAAATATGTTAATTTGCAGTTGCTAATCAGTTACAAGTATCAATTAACACAGCATGTCTGGAGTTGGAATTGAGCTCTTCAGTGGCTCTGAGAGTATTGCTATCTTGGCAAATCCCCTGGCTTCTTTTACCCCTGCTGAGAAAGAGTAGACTAACTGAATCCCAGCAACAAGATGCTTGGTGTAATGCCAAAAGCATCCTGGAATCCAATACATTTTTTAATATACTGTCAACTTCCTAACAGCAGGCAAGAGAAATCTGCAACCTGAAGGCATGAGGCATTGCTGCAATATAGTTCCCCAATGCAGAGAAAAACAGAAAGAAATTAGCACCTGCCTACTCTGTCTGCTCCCAAAGGACGGGATGGCCAAGAGCCCAGGCACAACAGCCCTTTCTCCCAGGTACACTACATGTGCCGCCCACAGAGTTGTCCCATTGTTCCAAACTCATCTAGTATCATAGTACCAGACTCATCTCTGCTCTTGATCCGTAGTAATATCAGCAGCACTGATAGAGCAGGCAATCTTTCTCCTGCCATGACAGCTCAGGGTGAGACAGGATAATCTGAACACTCTCACAAACAAGACCTCCCCCAGATGTCTAGTTCAAGGAAAAGACACACAGAAAGAGAGTCATTACTCACCACTTTCCATGTAAGTCCCTGGTTCCAGAAAGAAGAACCTTCTTCCAAGCTGAAAAGAGTGCCCCCAATTGGTGCTCCAAAGGCAGCAGCAACCCCTGCAGCAGCTCCAGCAGATACAAAATCCCTTTTATCCCTGAAACGAAGAGGAAAATGGTCCCAGTTTAGCATAGTAGAGCTCTGGAGGTGCTTAGGTTCTGCAGAGTAAGAGACCATTCCCATTTATGGATATATCCCAGGGATACAGGAGTGACAGCTGGGAGAAGTACTGGCCATGGCAGTAAGACTTATTCAGCAAGTTGCTGCAGCATCATGCTTTCTCTACAGCACCAACAAAGAGCAAAACTCTGGCACTACACATATGTCCCATATATAAGGAACCATTCCAAACTATGAAACTCCAGCACCACTTGAAAGAATGACTGAGGGAAGGGCAAGATTTTGTTCAGTCAGGTAAATGAGCCTTCTCTGTGGTGTATCTTGGCCATAATGGGTGAGTAACTGAGCTTGTTCTGAACAATGAAGCCAGTTAACCATTCAGGTTAAAGGCGTTAAGTGGGTAGACGTTTGCTGTGTAGTAGACAAGAACGTCAGTGAACATGGAGACAGAGCAGAGCAGCACGGAAGAGTCAAGTCCTGGTGTTGTCTTGCTGCAGAATGAGACTGCAGGGCACTAGAGAGACTGAAACTGCTACTGACTGATTCATCCCTTTTCCTAAGGAAGTCTGCTCACTCATCCTCCTGTCCCCTCCTCCACATCCTGGGTACAGTACCTGTCACTGCGGAAATAGGGAAAGTTAAACTGGATCTTCCTCAAAGAGATGCTCTGGAACTACAAACAAAGAAAAGATTTAGAAACAGAGAGGATAGACACTTAATCCTCACAGTACTCTTACAAAGCCAGTGACCCAGGCCAGCACTAACCTGTGGCAAACCCGCACCCACGACAGCACCACTGTGAATCATTGGACCCTCCTTCCCGACAAAAAGACCTGGAAAAACAGGACTAATGAGGCAGTGTGTTCCCCCTGGTCCTGCTGCCACCCTCCCTTGCTGACTGCCAAGAGAGACCAGCTCACCACCTCCATGCCCCTGTGCTCCTCAATCTCCCCTCAAGGTGCACAAAAGTGCTGACCCCGTCCCCTCAGCCCCCCCAGATGTTTGTGAAGACATGCACAGACTTTATGCTCCAAGTGGGTGGAATCATTCCAAGACAGCTAGTACAAGGACTCTGAACTCTCAAAGTTATTACGCCCTGCTGCCCAGAACATAACCTCCTTCAGGCTGCTCCAGACCATGTGTTCTGGAGAATTTTCATGTCTCCCTCAAAGACTGAACCAAAGAGTCACTTCTGAATAGCTCACCCAGAATAGTTCCCCTGATAGTCCTGATCCTTCTGTTTTCTACTCTATATATATATATATGCATTCAGGGCTCATGGCTCTACTCCAGCCCATTAAAATCATTTTACTGGAAAGGTGGGAGAAGCCCTTTGTGCCCTACGTACAGCAAGGACATATTTTTTCCCCTTCAGTGATTCCCAACAAGACTGATACACCACAGCCCTTCATACCTCCTGCCACGCTGAAGAGCACTCCCATAGCTTTGCACACCACTGTCCGGAGACGCACAACCCCTGGAACCTTTACCCCATTGAGGTAGCACTTGATTTCAGGAATCCCTGATCCAGCTGCTACAGGCTGTAGAAAAGAAACACTGTTGTTGTGTTGCATTGATTTCATAGCTGATCAACAATGTGTCATCAGAGAGCATAGCAAAGGACCAAGAGATCCTGTTTAGCTATATCAATCAGCACTGAGAAGCTAGTTTGGTGTCTTGGGGCAGACAGTGCTTCCAGCAAGAAGAATACTTCATACCCAGGACAAGGAGGCTGTGTAAGTAGCAGCAGTGCACCTAAGACTTACTTGGATCAGAACCAGAAGGCTGGCAAGAAAAACGAAGGTCAGGTTGAACCCCAGCAGCTCCAACAAGGACAATGCAAGACAGCCTTTCTCAGTGCATTCTTCCACCGCTGCAGGGATGGTCATGGAAAACAACAACATTCCCCCCAGCAACATGCAATCATTGAGTACTGTCTGGGGATCCCACTGGCACCAGGAGCCAAACCTGCTAACCCAGCCAGGGCCTCTGACACAACTCACCAGGAAGCCAGGCTTCATTTTCAGAGCTTACCTAAAGTACAAGGAAGGGAAACCACTCATTCTTTCAGGGATAAGCCTTTGCCTGTGTACACAACAGTGGAAACATTCTTGGTTTCAAGGCCTGAATTACAGAGCCAAGTTAAAAACTTGATTAGTCATTAATGTGACTGATGGCAAAAGTCTGAGAGTCAGCTTTTCTGAGCAGAACAGTAACAGAAAGGAAAAGGTCACTTCAGCCTAGCAGGAACCCACACACTGGGTAAAAGATACAGCTTTGTACCACCTGGAACTTGAGCTGGGTAAAGAGCCGTACAAAGAAATCCACAAAAAGGCCCACCTATGGAAAAGAAGACACATTTGTCATCAGAAACTACTACATACAAGTAACAAAGACCACCTTCTAGTAAGTCCTACCAGAAGTATGCACACATAGAAGGACAAAGAATGAAGAAGGCAAAAGAAGTGTTGTTCAGAGTAGAGTAACTCTGGAGGCTCAGATTTGCTGCCTCCCTCATTCTCATACCAGGACAGTTCCCTCCTAGTTATTCCGGAAGGAATGCATTTCAGAGTGCTAATCTGGCAGCATTTTTAACACCCACAACACATTTCAGGGTACAGAAGAAAGCTGGCGCTTAACTGAGGCATGCACTCAGCAGAGCTAATGTTCAAACACTCTAGAAAGTACATGCAGTGACACTAGTGCTGACAAACATACTAACCATACAGTTCAACTGTAAATTAGCATCTTTTTATTAGGTGCCCACTTTGGACAGGTTTTCCTGTATGCAGAATTAAAGGATTTGCCAGAATACCTTACAAAGAAAGCACAGCAAGTTCTAAAACAAACAAATCAAAAACACTTCCTGGATAATAATCTAGCAACAACATGCCATAATTCCAAAAAGACAACTCTAGCTACTAAGCTCTCCACTTCATAAAAGATTGATTGTTTTCTCCTCTTGACTCCTCAGCCATTGACTTCTAAATTATGCCTGCTTAGTCTCCTGAATTTTCCTCATTCACCAAACAGCATGATCCTTACCAGTCCTGTGCAGACTCCAATAGCAAAAACCATCACCCACTTCACTGCTTCGTATCTCTGGGCCTTCTGTTTAGGAAGAGAATAAAAAAACACATGAGCCAAATCAAAGCAGTATAGAAATGGGGATCAGAGAAAGGCATTTTGGAGTTCCACAGCTTAATTCCTGCTAGAGTGATAAATCAACAGAAGATGGTAAGAACAGAAAACTGAAAATAAGGAACTAAAAGTACATCTTGCTCACTTTAAACCTGTTCTGAGGATCAGAACAGATGCTGGGAGCTACCATCTCCATACATACTTTTATTCTTTTCATACAGAAACCAAGAGAGCACATAGAATTACTTTCAAAAGAAGAAAAATATCCACAAAACTTCCTTCAGTGGAACATATTTAGAATCACAGAATGGTTTGGGTTGTAATGGACCTTAAAGCTCATCCAGTTCCAATCCCCTGCACAGGAACGGACACCTTCCACTAGAGCAAGTTGCTCCAAGCCCCATCCAACCTGCCCTTGAACATTGCCAGGGATGGGTCAGTCGCAGCTCCCCTGGGTAATTTCTACAGTTTTGGCTTTCAAGGAAATGAAAGAGAAAGAACAAGGTCCTACCTTGTTATCCATGGTCTCCAAAACTTCCAAGTATGGGTCATTGATACAACGATCGTAATCCAAGCTCTGAAAGAATGCCAAAAGGTCAATTTAAGAGAAAACGCTACAACAGATTGTGCAAAAAACTATGGATAGAAGACCCTGTTAGACATTACAGAAGTCATTACTACCCCCACAGTAGGTTTTGCAGACAACAGGAGGAGAAAAAAGTCCTGGAAACAATGTCAATCAAATATTTCCAGCAGAACCAGACCCTAAGAACCACAAAGTGAAAGAAGAGACCAATTTCACTTCCCCAGCTGAGAGAGACAGGGAACCACATAGGAACATGACTTATTAAAACAACTTTAAAGGAATCACATTGTACAGGTTTAGACTTTACTTAAGTGCCTCCAATATGACAGTGCAGGGGATAAACATTACATCTTTCTATTTAACCTCTCACTACAACACAAATACTAGGTAGGACTTCATCTCCAGCTGAGAGTTTAAAGCAAGATAGAGCTGCTCAGTCATACTTGCAAACTACCACTAGCTTCAATCTACATCAACTTCACCCTTTCAAGCCAAGCAGTAACAGCCTGAGCTGCTGACACCCATGTGAACAGCAACTGCTCTAAATAACTCAGGGCCGTTATAGAATCATAGAACAGCTAGGGTTGGAAGGGACCTCAAGATCATCCAGTCCCAACCCCCCTGCCATGGGAAGGGACACTTCACACTAAACCATGGCACCCAAGGCTCTGTCCAACCTAGCCTTGAACACAGCCAGGGATGGAGCATTCACAGCCTCCCTGGGCAACCCATTCCAGTGCCTCACCACCCTAACAGGAAAGAATTTCCTCCTTATAGCCAATCTAAACTTCCCCTGTTTAAGTTTCAATCCGTTACCCCTTGTCCTGTCACTACAGACATGCAAAAAGCAAAAATCTCCTGTAAGGATGTTCTGCTGTCAGCCAGCATAACAGAGCCTGCATAAGGCAACAGTGACCAAGCAGCAACAGATGCTTCCTACAGTCATGAGGAAACAACACCAACAGAGCCTGTAAATCCCACATTTAAGAAGCAGAACAACGCAGCAGGCTCTGAAAATGGATTTCCTCAATAAGAGGCTGACTTGAGCCATGGACATTCAAACTCCACCTCCAGAGCTTTGACCCAGAAACATGTGAGGAGCAGTTCTTTGCAAACACAGCAACTCTTGGTATTTCTGCTGATGCCAATGCAATCTAACTGGTGATGCACTTTGAGTACCCGCCTCGCTACAGACTCCAACTGACCACAACCCGTCTACAGTTCCTTACACATGCGTTTCCCCTGCTGTTATCAGTTTAATTCCCACCTCATAGTCCTTGCGTGGAAGGATCTCATCCTCCTCTTCACGAGTTTCCCCTAGGATTGTCTGCAAAACAAACATGGGAAAGGAAAATCATCAGGGAAACAAATGCAGGCACAGACACTCATAACACTGGTAACAAAACCAGAATTAAGAAAGACCTATACCATTATGGCTTATAAAGTCACGAGTATGGGTTACCAGACCATCACCTACTCTGGGGTAGCTGTATAGGGTCTCACCTTAAAGCTTGCGCCTCAGCAAGTACACACCACATCACTTCTATACAGGAGCTCCCCACAGCAGAGTAAGGCAGAGCAGTACTAAAACCCATCCCAGCTTCCCTTACAGCAGTGCATTATAGGGAAGCACAGGCCCAGAAAACTGCATATACAGCATTCTCCTGCGCCGGGCATGCAGAGAGCCCCATCAGAGCCACTTCCCCGAGGGCTGCAAGGGGCTGACACCAGGCCCTGCCACAGCTGACTGCGGTACTGGGACAGCGCGGGCTGAGGCACTGGGAGAGTGGCTGAGGTACCGGGCCCAACATGAGGCAGAAGAGCGGGAACGGGTTGAGGGGCCGGGGTGAGCGTCGGCTGAGGCACCAGGCCATGAGGCACCGAGGCTCTGGGCCCAGCACGGGCTGAGGCACCGGGCCCTGACGGGCTGGGCCAAGCAAGAGTTGAGGCACCGGGCCCTGATGGACTAGGCCAAGCAGGGGTTGAGGCACCAGCACCAGGGATGAAGCACCGGACCCCGAGGGATTGGGCCAAGCACGGGCTGAGGTACCGCGTCCTGAGGCACCGGCACCCAGGGCGGAGGCACCGTAGCTACGTCCCCCCCCCCAGCCGCCCGCCCTCAGGCGCTCCGCGGGGCTCGGTGTGGGGTACGCGGGCCCGTACCAGCTCCTCGGGGGTGCGGCTCTCCCGCTCTCCGCAGCAGCGCGGGCAGCAGCAGCAGCACAGCCCGGACCCGCATCCCGCCATCTTCCGCTGCCGCCGCCGCCCCTTCCCGGCTCCACCCGCCGCACCGCGTAACCCCGCCGCGGCCTGCCCGGGCCCCGCCTCCTCCGGCGCGGCGCGGGGCGGCTGAGGTTGCGGTTCCGCCATGGCGGAGCAAGGGAAGCGCAGGGCGGTGCCGTGGGACGCGCCCTGCATCGGCCCCGTTTAAAGCACCGCGGGATGGGGCCGCCCAGCACCGCCCAGCACCACCGGCAGGTGAGCGGGGCCTGGGGCGGGCAGCGGGAGGCCGCGGTACCCAGCTTGGCTGCGGCGCGGGGAACCCCCCATCCTCCGGCGGCAGGACCCTCCTCCTCCCCTGGTCCTTTCCCTTCATCCTTCCCATGGCCGTGCCTTGTCCCATCACCCGCCCCGTTGGCGGTGCGGTAGACCCAGCCGCGGGCTACCCCGTAGGGCTGTCAGCCTGGTGCTCCGGCCCCGCACAGGACCCTTGCGGGCCCCATGTGAAGCGCATCTCCTGCAGCCGAGGTCAGCTCGAGTGGGGGAGCTGAGCTTGGGAGGATGCCGATCGCAACAGTGCGTGTGTGAGCGCTGGCCTGGGAGCGGTAAAAGTGCCCTACAGCGAAGTAAACGGGGACCACCATCACATAAACGGAACAGGCACATGTGCGCTGATCAGCATTAGGGTCCTGATCATAGATCTTTGAGCATAGGTCGGGGTGCTGATCATAGACCTTTGAGCATAGATTGGGGTGCTGATCATAGATCTTTGAGCATAGATCGGGGTGCTGATCATGATCTTTGAGCATAGATTGGGGTGCTGATCATAGATCTTTGAGCATAGCTCGGGGTGCTGATTATAGATCTTTGAGCATAGATCAGGGTGCTGATTATAGATCTTTGAGCATAGATGGGGTGCTGATCATAGATCTTTGAGCATAGATGGGGGTGCTGATCACAGATTCTTGCTCTCAGCACTGCAGTGTAGCAGAAACAGAGGAACAGGAGCGCTGAGCCAAATGGGCCCAAGGGGGTTTCAGAATGTCTTATTTTGCAGCTGGTTTTGTTGTTCAGAAAATGCTTTGTTTCCCTTAGCAGCTTGCAAACTGCAAGCTTCTGCCAGCAAATCTGTGATGCATCTGATGGTAAGGAAATGCTCCAACTGCTGCCTGTAGGCAAAATTTAAGGGGGACCTTTCTCGGATCATTATGGCTTCAGATTGTCAGTGAGATAAGGCCCTATCCACAACCAGTATTAACCCTATAGAACCATGAATACACAACCTCTTGGCTTGTGATGGGAATCTTAAATCTCAAGTGGGAGAACAGCAATCCTGTGATATGCCTTTAGTGCCATGGCACCCTTGTGGGAAGGGAAATATTGGGAGTTGACTCTGTTTTGCACTGCTCTCTTGATCTCCAGCACATGCTTTGGGATAATACTCCCAGATTAGGGCCACGTGGATGGCATGCAAAGTCCTGTGAGAGAGCATGGTCAGGGCTGTTAGTGTGCACCCCCCACTGCTCTTGCTTCACTTCTCAGTAGGTCTGTGGTGCTGATTTTCACTGTGACCTGATTTAAGATGCCCTGTTCCTCTTGGCAGCAGAAGCCCTACGCTCCCTTCTCATATCTTCTGCCAGCAGAAGTCCCCAGGTGATAAAAATAGACTTTCTCCCGTAGCCTTCTGCTTGCTTGGGAACTCAGTGTAAACAGTAAAGATGAGTTCAAAGACCTTGGATGACCTAAACCCACAGAGCTTATATGATAAGGACAAAGTGTACATTAGCTTGTGCAACCAAAAGCAGGCTCCAGTGTTAAATAATGCTCAGCAACATGCTGCTTCCCAGTGGCAGTTTTAGGTTTTGGCAGGCACAGAAGCAAGTAACACAGATGCACATTTTATGGTAGCTTTTTTCTAGTATTCACTACCTCATTTTGAAGGCATAGGATGAAACACTTGGGGAACTAAGTGGAAGCAGGGAGAAGGGGATGGTGGCTGCTGACCTTGTTTCCAAGCAGCCACAAAGAGGAACATGAACAGTGTACTTGGTAAAGGAAAGAACTGCGTGCAGTGGTATTGGCTGCAGAGATGGTATGTCTTGCAGAAGAAGGATAATGGCTAGAAATGCAACTGTGATGCCAGCAAAGACAAAACAAAGGATGGTATTTGTGGGGATGGCCTGATCAGAGGGGTTTTTCCAGGGTTTTTTTCTGACATAGGAATAGTTTGTGCATTCGTGAGTACCTTCCCCATTAGCACTTGCTTTTCTACCTCCACTGTAAAGAAGCGCTGCTTTTTGGGAACAAATAGTGCAAACTGGAGATGGACACAGTCCAAGAACCAACTGGTGTAGAAAGAAACAAAGTTATCTGCTGGCATATCCAACCGAAGGCTGCAAGATCAAAGAGGCTGCCACCTGATGCACATGAGGATCGTGGCCTAAGTTAATGAGAATCGTGCACTCAGGTCAAAAGTGATGTTGACCTGACTTTTGAGAGCCAAATTTGACCCAGCAAGCACAGATCTACATCAGAGTGGCACGAAAGCCTCTGCAATTATGTTTTTACCAGCTCCCCCCCTACAGCTTACAGTGAAGGCTGGCAAAAGGGACTCCTTGGTGATTATTAACATCTGACCTTGATATAGGCTTCCTTTTCATTACCTGCTGCCCACACCGGCCGTAACTGCTCCTTGCTCCCTGTCCTCCCTTGTACCCACTGTGTTCCTTCTGTGACCCTCCTCCAGAGAGCTCACCATGGTCAACGAGACCCAGCATAGCTGCAGTGCCAGCTCCAGCTCCAAGTCTGATGGTGGCAGCAGCAGTGGGAGTGAGAGCTCCAAGGACAGCTCGCGCTGCTCCACCCCTGTCCTCGATGCTGACCGGCATGAGCGGCTGCGGGAGAAGATGCGTCGACGCCAGGATGCTGGAGACAAGTGGTTCTCCCTGGAATTCTTCCCTCCACGCACAGCCAATGCTGCTGTCAATCTCATCTCCAGGTGAGGGCTGCAGGGTGGGAGAAAGGAGAGATGAAGTGTCTGGTGGAGGGTTGGGAAATAGCTAATGAGGCAGGCTCTGCCCCATGCTCTGTCTCCCCTTCCAGGTGACGAAGCAGGTAATGGGGCTGTGCTTTCCTGCTGAGGAAGGTAATGGACACCAGGTAATTTGTCTTCCTTGGAGGCCCCTGCAGAGTTAAGTGTCATGGTGGGGTTACTGAGGGGGCCAGGCTGTTTTCTCTCTCCCATGCTCTGTGAATACGGAGCAACCCCACTGTCATGCTCAGGCTGAAGCAGAGTGCTGGGGAATAATGGAGCAGAAAAGTACCTGTTAAGAGCAGAAAATACTCCTTGATGGGCAGCGTGCCAAAGTCTGTAGAACAGATACCACTGGCTTTCAGGATCATCTAGCCACTGTGATTTGTGCCTCTGTGTTACAGTTTGTCTCTGAATAGGTGCCCCCATCTACGTGCTAAATGAAAGGTGACAGTTCTCAGCAGAGCTAAAGGTCATCCTGGAGCCCAGCGGGGACCCCCAGGAGCCACCATGCAGTCACCAAGGGGAAAAGAGGCTTTTCCATAACTCTGTAGCTGCTGTATACCAGTGCCAGTTTTACTTTAAACAGAAAGGCCTGTTCCAATCCAGAGCAGGAGAGAGGCGAGTTAGGGGAGCCTCTGTCTCTTCTATTAGGCACGCTTCGGAACACAACAGAGATCTGATCCACCTTTTCTTATCTGTGGCCTCTACAGTTAAAGCTGGGAACAGGGGGTTGCATCACAATCTCCCGTCTCAAAAGGAATAAGATTTGCACTGCTGGCTATCATAAGACATGCCAGTCTAATAGAACATGCTGGGAGGAAATTTATTGTACAGAGAACACTTAAGTTGCCTCTTTAAAGACATTGGCAGCTCTTCCTCATAAAACCTTAAAGGATGACTTCCCTTATTTACACTGGCCACTTGCTAAGCTCTTAGTTCAACTCTTGTCTTAGTCTCTCCTGCTGCTGTCACCCAAGCTCCCTCTTCCTGTCGCTAGCATTCCAATACTGAGCAAGATATCCCAGGCACAGAGAGGGGAGTTGGCTGCCTGGTAGGTTAATGCAGCTCTGAAATCCACAGGTTTGACCGCATGGGAGCGGGTGGTCCGCTCTTCATTGATGTGACGTGGCACCCTGCAGGGGATCCGGGATCTGACAAGGAAACCTCTTCCATGATCATTGCCAACACTGCAGTCAACTACTGTGGCCTGGAGACCATCCTGCACATGACATGCTGCAATCAAACTAGGGATGATATCACAGGGCATCTGCAGAAGGCCAAGAGGCTTGGGTTGAAGAACATCATGGCGTTGCGTGGAGGTGAATCCTTTTATCATACTTTTCCTGAAGCTGCCTTGCTGTTGCATTCAATTTCAAGGTAAAAACAGAGAAATAAGATTTTTGTTGGCAGTCCCTCCAGCTCAAGGGTAGACAAAAGCAGTCCATGGGTAGAACTGCAAGCGTGGGGCTTTCATCTCTTTGCCCTCCTTTCAGCGGGAGGATTTATGGAACTAGCAGGTATGAGTCCTGCAAATAGTTGGAGAGCTGTGGATTTGTTCTCCTTTCAGATCCTGTCGGTGAGGAGTGGGAGGAAGAAGTAGATGGTTTCAACCACGCTGTTGACCTGGTTAAGCACATTCGCAATGAATTTGATGATTACTTTGACATCTGTGTGGCAGGTAAATATCCTTCATTGCAGAGTGTGTTAGGGTCTGAGACAGGGACACCAGCTCAGCAGTCCCTCTCTGGACCTGGGCTGGGACAGCATAATCAGATTGGCAGCATTGATTTCTAGTGTATTGTCTCTACCACCAGGGTTTCACTACTTCTTTCTTCCCCTTTCCCCCCAAAGGCTACCCTAAAGGTCATCCTGAAGCAGAGAGCTATGAGGCAGACTTGAGGCACCTGAAGGAGAAAGTCTTTGCTGGGGCAGACTTCATCATTACGCAGCTTTTCTTCCAACCAGAAACCTTTCTCAAGTTCATGAAGGACTGTCAAGCCATTGGCATCACCTGCCCCATTATTCCTGGCATCTTCCCCATACAGGTGAAATCCAGTAGTTTTGGTTTGGGGAGGGAATAAAGATCCAGATTAGGTACTTATGGGTCAGGACCTGCGAGAGGTCTGTAAATACCCTCCACAAAATTTCTGGGAAGTGAGAGTGCTAAGTGTGATACATCTGTGGGTGGTTTGCCAAATTAAACTCTTAGGCACGTAATA